CCCTGACCCACTTTTCATCTCTGACTTTCTCCATGGATATCATCTACACCTATTTCGATTCCTACATGCTAATTTCTACCTCTCGGCACCATCTTCCAACCTGTCTATCCAACCATGCTGTATGTATCTTATACTTAGCTTGAACTCAGTGTGCCCTACACTGAATTAATCGCTCAGCCTTTTTTTTTAAGACAGTCTCCACTAAGTTGCTGTTCGAAATTGCAGTCCTTCTGCAAGGATGTTATAGTAACTTTTTTTTATAAATTCACAACCATAATTTTAGTGTGTAGCTTTTTCACTTTGCCTAGCTTCCTGCAATATTACCAAATGACTTTCTGCCTATAAGAAAACCCATCTAATCCCACATGGCTGTCAGGATAGTTGCTCAAAAGACCAAATCAGGGTCATGGTGCCTCTTCTAATATCTCTCCGATGGTTCTTTACTTTTTCTGAACAATGAAGACCCTATGGCACGATGCACAAAGCCAAGCGTGAGCTGGGCCCTGCAGCAACCTGGTGGGCAACTACTCACCAGCACCCTCTTGTGTCCCTAATGCACAGTCCTTCCCAAGTATTCAGCATAGGAGAAAGCTCGGTGCCCTCCATTTTCGTACCTTTGCACATGCTCTTCCCCTGCATGGGTGGCACTCTTTTCCACAGTCCTGGCTCCTATTTATTACTTAAGTTTCTTCCTTACCCTCTTCAGAAAATGTTAGGGGCTCCTGCAGACAGTAAGTCCCTGACTTACCAACACTTAGTTCCAAACTTCCACAGAGAACAACGGACCATGCAGTTAATTTTTTTATGCTTTACATTGTATATTTGTGTCAAGGTCGTGTAAGACTCACTTTGTGGGACCTGTGAAGGAACTTCCTCCCAGAAACGGAACTCGTTTGTAAGTCTAGGACTTACTGTACCAAGATCATGTCCGACTCCAGGCACCCACAGAACCTGACACCCCGTGTCCCTCTGCATAATGCGTCACCCACTGTACCCTCAATGTTTTTCCTACCTGTGTCTCTCAGTAGCCTACACACTCATTAAAGAGAAGCACTATGTTTTGCAGAATCAAATCCTACATAAAAATTAATCAAGGAATGCTCAAGAAAATCCTTTCTACAATTTCTACAAAAATTTCTGCATTTTTTCATGAATTTGCAGTATCTCCTCCTGCTTCACCTAAGATGTCATCCCAAAACATCCTAGTTCCTTCCAACTCTTCCCGCTTGAATGCTTTTGCTCCTCGTGCACCACGTCTTCAGCTCTTCATCTTATGCTCTGCAACACATCTTGCTCTAATTTTTTTATTATTTCACGCACACACCTTGTCTCCCCATCTGTATCATAAACTCTGTGGAAGAAATGACCCTTATATCGTACATCCTTGGCTCCATTAATGGACACATTGTTATGTTTGCAAGTTAGAAAATAACTGCAGAGTGAATAAATTAAAATGTGCTTTTTTATTTTTACTTTTTACTCTCAGTATGAAACAACTGACAAACACCTTTCTCCGGATGGCCAGTACGTCCCCAGGATTTTGTTTGTGGGTAAGTGAAGGTGACAGTAAGGTGCGCCACACTCTGAAGATGGTGCAAGGGCTGCCACCTCCTTCCTCTCTCCTCCTCTCCACCTGCCCCTTCACCACAGTCAAGGTCACAGTGAAGCTCCAGCAAGGGTATGAGACATCCTTCAAGTGCACAATGCACTTTCCTTTGGAAAATATGAACTTCTATTTCCACACATGACTTCTCATTTGCTACCTCCCACTTTTCACCTTCTTCTATGAATATATCTGAGAAGGAAGCTGCATGTCTCTCTTATCAGTAAAATGTTCCTCGGTTCTCATTTTCCATTCATTGGATGATTTCATAACTATAGCAGAGATTGGCCCTGTATCGGTCGTCATAATCCCAGCATGACCCTTTGATAGACTCTCAGTATTTGCTGAATGACTCAGTGTGTGTTTTGAGTTTGGCTTTGCCCAAAGTCATATAGATCTAAGAAAAATCTACAATTAAGCTCATCAGATAACAGAGCTCAGTCTAATCAAGTGGTTCACCAGGTAGTTCCTCCAAGTTTCCCTTAAATTTATAAAACAGGGAAGAGAAAAACAAGTCATGGGGTGGGTGGGGGAAGGTTTTGTTTGGATGTAGAGCATTAAAAAGCCCTGGGTTCAATCCCCAGTACGACACACACACACACACACACACACACACACACACACACACACAAATTAATAATCACAACGTGCTTGTTTGATCTTACTACTCTCAAGGGCTTGCATTCTTTTATTCATTGTTTAAAAAGAAACCGGCATTGCAGATGTTTCTAATTATCTAAATCGCTCTTTGTAAAACATAATCATTTAAAAATTTACAATAATTTCATAATAGAGGATGCTAATGTTTTCACCAAAGCAAAACCAAAAAAAGAAACCCGCCCCCAACACACATCATCCTGTTTGGGGGTCACTTTAGATAGAAGGATGGCAGGGCTCCTAAGCTTTTCCACAAATAGCACTGCGCTCGCCGGGCAGTGCGGAGGCGGGGTAGCACAGTGGGAGGGGCGGAGCGCCACACCGTGCGTCCTTCTCAGGCCGTGGCTACTGCACAGGCTTCATCCTGCAATGGAGGTTGCTTAACAACGAACATCCATTCCCTTTCTCTCTGCAGACCCATCTCTGACAGTGAGAGCCGACATCACTGGGAGATACTCAAACCGTCTCTACGCCTATGAACCTTCAGACACAGCCCTATGTAAGTGGCAGCTCCAGCGCGGGAGGAATCTGAGTGTGGGGCATCTCTGCTGCTGCAGGCGCATGCCAGTGCACCACTCAGGGACACCAGGGACCCAGTGTGACCTCACGCGCCTGCGTCCTCAGGCACATCACACACTCCCTCCCAGTTTGTTTTTTAATCTCAGTTGAGGATGAACCATTTAGATCTTTTTCTGTAGGAGGACTCTATGACCACACTACCTATATTTCGTGTCTGCTCTCGGGCATACAAACACAACCCGTCACAGGACCGAATGTAAGAGGCGTAATAATCTGATGCTTTATTCCCCCAAATAATAGAAGTGCATAATAATAGAAGTTATTTAGCCCAGCTTCTTGAGTTCAGGTTCGATTTAAAGATGAATAGGCAGGATGAACCAACAAGCTGCTGCGAATGGAAGAGACGGGAGATGGGAATGGGGGGAGAAAATGACAAATGGGGAGATGCGTCAAGCTGTGACATACCAGGTTTTTAAATTTTTTTATTTTTATTAGTACCTTTGCAGTACCTAATCCATCAATAGGGGAGTTGGTACAGGCACACAGAACATCTCATCCCCTGCCCCACCCCACTGCTCCGTCTCTTGGTCCCTTCCTCATTTGTGAAAGATCCATCTCCCTTTTTTCTATTATCTATGCTTTTCCAGAAAGGAAACTGGGTTTTATTCTAGAAACCAGTTCTGGTCAGTTGTGCCTGCCTAGAACCTCACTGCTCAGTATGTAAGCCGGGAGCCCCAGGTTGCTATTTGAGTTTAAATAACACAAAAACGCAAATCTCAGTTAACTAATCACACTCCAGTGCACGAACGCTGGATGTTGTGAATCTCACCATAGCATTTTCTACTGGACAGCACTGAGGTAGGATAGGCTGCTGGGAAGGAGGCGAGGCCTGGGGGCAGCAGGAAAGCGCCCCATTGGTCTACTGGGAATGCACCCTGAGGAAACTGCGAGGCCAAGGGGAAGCCGTCCCGCAGCTGCCCTTGTTTGCATCTTAGTAAGACCGAACTCTGCAAAGGCAGTGTCTACACCCAGAATTCCACACCATGGTGTATAGCAAGCAATTAGTGAATAGTGTATTTGTAAATTTCTGAATCAATAGCTGCTCAGTGCCTATCATATGGACCTCTTATTTCTCTAGATCACATACCTTATTTTCAGAAATTGCGGCTGCTGCAGGGACAGTGATCTAGAAGTCTGGGCGCTGGAGCAGTTGTCAGTCCTATTACTTTTTAGCATGAGACCCTGAGCAAATGGGTCAACCTTTCTGAGACTATTTCTTCATCTAAAGAGGAAGCACTAACAGTTTTTGTGAAGGAATTGATGTATCGGTGTAAAGCACTTGGCTTGCTATTTTTATAATTTACATCCCACCTATTCCTAAAATACTTCGCAGTAGCTGTACACCCGCAAGTATGTATTATGAACGTGAGTTAAGATTCGCTTCCAAATTAACCAAAATTATTTGCTCCTGAGTTTATAAAGAGATTTTTTAGAAGAGGACGCTGAAAGAAGGCAGATCTGAGGAATAAATACATGAGAGTACTGGACTGTCACAAAAACCATGTCACATAACTTAAGGGGAAAAAATGTACAAGATTACCAAATAGTCACCCTACACTTAAAAACCTCCCACTGAACGATGACTACAGCAGCCAGGTTTGGGGGTCTGTTATATCTACGGAAGTAATCCCGATGGGCATCTTGCTTTTCCTTTGCCCCCTTTCAGTGTTTGACAACATGAAGAAAGCCCTCAAGCTGCTGAAGACTGAACTGTAGGGGGAACAAGACAGAATCTGCAAGCTCTTCCCTGCATGCCAGGCCTCGAGACTTGGAACCAAGATGTCAGCAGACTGGAGAAGTACTGGCTGACATGCTCATTAGATTATGGTTTAATGTTACAACCGCCTTTTATTTTTAAAATTGGCTTCAGGAATACATGTATGAAGATAATATCATACACTACTGTAGTAAGCCATGATTTTCTAAAAAATAAATCCTTTTGGAGGTACTTAAATGGAAGGTTTGCACTTTCAATTTTTCCGAGCTTGGTCTTCCATAGAAAGGCTATTTGGTTCATTCACCAAGTAGGACCGTTGGATACCCACAAAATGCTCTGGGAGGGCACAGGACAAACTAGTTCTGATAAAAAAGAACAAAGTTTTTACCCTACCATGTTACAGATACTTGCAGGGTAAGAGGCGGCGTGAAAGTAATGAATAGAAGCATCAAAGGCTGCACATGATCAGTGTGGAAGAGCGTGCAGAAAGGCATCGCAGGGAATTCAGTTTCTGGTAGGAGACAGCCCTCCTCACCCTGGCCACAAGCTTCTGCACACACGCTTCAATTTAGAAATCCAATTTTAGTCACGTTTCATCTCCCTTCGTGGTCTCACAGGAAACCCTGGCAGCCAGCTTTGTCCTTCCAAAGGCTAATTCAGTGTGAAAGTCATTCAGAGAACATCTGTCCTCCGTACCCTAAAGAAATCCTGACAGCTGGCCTTGTAACATTCGCTCTCTCAAGGTTTCTACAGTACTGGTTAGAATAAGTCGTGTGAACTGCTCCAGTTTCTCACTACCAGGGGACAGACGGTCCAGGGGAAGGACAAAGGGCACTGATATCCTGTCATGAGGCAGAGATCAGAGATCACTTGTGTTGGGGAAAAAGTTGTGGGAGGGTGTGGCTCCAGGTAGGGAAGCAGCTTTTGCTTTTAACTCTATACTCAGCCCAACAAAAATGAGAACTGTGTTTCAGCTTTACCACTGTGCATTTAATCTCACATTATTACATAAAGATCCTCCATCATCGGACACCACCGTCCTCTTTGGTCCCTGGTGAGCCACATAATACACCACATATGAACCATCTGTTGCTTGTCTTGGTTAACTTTTCTAGACAGATCGTTTTCTAAATAGACCTTTTCAATATTCATTTGCCCAGGGTAAATAATACATTTGATGCTTTTCTCACTCACAGCAGCCAGTATCACCAGCGGATAGTTGAGCACTTATTGTTGATTTAACAGCATACAAGTCCTGAGCTAAAATATCACAGGGAAATCAGTCCCTTTCACATAAGCAGGTAACCTCTGTGTACTGACGAAAGTAAAACATTCCACCTAGAAAGCTCCCTGAGAGCCACCAGGGGAAAAGAGGCTTTGCTTCAAAACAAATATTTTGCGTGACAACTTACAGATGAATTAAGTTTCATGTATAGTACAGCAACATAGTGTTTATTTTTCCATTAGGCTGCTGTGAAATAATATTGTTGGGTCCTTAAAAATGCAGAAAGTGGGGTACAGGTATTTATGCACCTGCGCTCTTAGCAGCATTAATTGCAATGGCTAAAATATGATGTAACCTAAGTGCCTGTCAAGGCAGAAATGGATAAAGTGTGACCCACATATACTGTGGAATATTATTCAATCTTTTAAAAGAAGGAAAAGCTGGCACGTGTTAGACGATGGATGAACACTACAGACACTTGTGTGGGCTAAGTGAAATACGCAAGTCACTAAAGGAGGAGTACAGTCAAATTCCATTTATATGAGGTACCCAGTTCTCAGGGAGTCAGAGGGCAGGCAAGAAAGAGAGATGAGTGGGGAATGAGTCTTCAGGAGTGAGGGAAAGGCTGAATGAGGAATTAATTGTTTAATGGATGTGGAGCTGGGCATGGTGGCGCACGCCTGTAATCCCAGCACTCGGGAGGCTGAGGCAGGAGGATTGTTGTGAGTTTGAGACCAGCCTGGGCTACAAAGTGAGCTCAAGGCCAGCCTGAACTGCACAGCCAGACCTTATCTCAAAAGGACAAAAAAAAATAAATAAATGGGTGTGGAGTTTTGGCTTGAGATCAAATATTCTGTAAACAGATGGTGGTGATAGCTGCATAATATAAAAGTACTTAATGTCACCAAACTGCACATTTAAAATAGTCACAATAAACTGGGCACGGTGACACGTCTGTAATCTCAGCACTTGGGAGGCTGAGGCCAGCCTGGGCTACATATAAAGTAGTCAAAATAATACATATTATGCCATTTACTATATCACAATTAATATTTTCCTCAGTTTTATTTGAGGCCCCTTGGGTTACAAAGGAAAAAACAGGAATTAACTTTTTTTAAGATGTCGGTAACATGAATCCATAAAAGTCATTTACACAGATGGTCAACAGGCTTCGTGAGGCCTTTTTCACCTATTTGAGAACAAGTGTTCTTGAAACGATCCTCTCTGTCTCTGCCTGTGTTGTCTGGGTTTCTCTCGAATTCATTCATCCTGTGAGGATCCTGAGTTCCTCCTATTAGTGACCACTAGTGAAAATGGGACATGGGACAGGAAAAGTCTAACACAACTTTCTTCAGGCCGAGGAGCCAGACTTCAAAGTCCGAGTCAAGTCAGCCTGACTCATGAAAAGGCCGCCTGTTGAGTTAGGTCTATTTGCAAAAGGCAAGATACTGAAAGTAACCGAAGTGGCTTCACCCTTCCAGACACGCCAAAGTCCACTTTCTAACGTATAGTTTAACCCACGGGTAATTCCCTCAAGCCCTCACCTGACAAGGAGTTCCAGAAGCTGGTTTTCGTAAGGAGAGGGATAAGAAGTGACCTGGCCTCCAGGAGGAGAGCCTGACTGTCCCCTTTCCCACTGCCTCATGAAGTATTGCAGTGACAACAACTGCACAGCTGTGAGAGGACCTTTGTTCCTTTTTTTTGTGAGAGCCTTTCTGATTTATGTCTTGTCTTCTGAGTAATTACTCTGGAGATAGATAACGATACACAGTGTGTTAACTATTGTTATTCTCTTATCATTTTGCTATGAAAGTGTGCTTTACCTTTTCATAAAGTTTAAAAAGAGAAGTGGAAAAACTGCACAGGCCCTGTCTTGCTGCCCCACCGCTCCCCGCTCTTTCTCATCAGGTAAAGAACTGGCTGCTCCCTTAAAACACACTCACCCACACGTTGTAGTATCGATCAGCGTGGGTAAAATCATGGCATAAAAATCATCAGCTACTCTCAAACACAACCACCTTACATAAAGTCCCGCACAACCCAGGAAGTTAGAAAAATTTAACTTTGCTGTCATTTCTAATAAAACAAAACCATTCTCGTCAGAGGGATCATGTTCATACTATCACGAAGAGTGCTTCTGTTGGAAGGATCATGTCCCAGCTATCACAAGGAGTAGTACCACACAAGCACTACGTAAAAATGTGGTTCTAACTTTTCCCCTACCTTTGCATGTAAAAAAGCAAAACTGCTTTCATGCACTGAGTGTATTTTCAGAAGAATGAACAAACTTGAACAGGATTAAACAAATATTTAGAAAAATTACAGCAGACAGTTTGGACTCCAGAAGCTGAGAAATGAATGCCATACTTCCGGTTTCCATCCTAACCGGCTCCATTCAGCAACATGCTATTAAGGTCGAACATGCAGAACTGGTTTTTATACCAAGCACACTGTTGCTCAGATGATAGCAGAGGATGTGAAATGAATTTAAGCCACAGCGAGCTCTCATTTTAGAAATTATAGTCAAACCCTTTTTGCCTTTCTATTAGCATTGTTTTCTCAGCTAAACTTTCACCTTCAGCATAAAGGCTGAAGAAATGTTCTAAGGGACGTTTCTTTAAATATATCAACAGGGAATCAGAATGTTTTGGCAGTTAGCTCCTTTTTAAACACATGTGAGGTTTGGGTGAAGTGACAGGCAGGGTGCTGGATTTGCCTTATAAGCCATTTTTGAAATGCCAGGCTCTGAGCGGAAACTGTGGCAGTCTTCTCTTTCCCACAGGTGGGATCAGCTTGTCTGAATGCTCACAATAGGGCCATTCAGGATTCAGGATGGAGGGTTCTGGCCTTCCCAGGGGCACTGTAGTACACTGTGGAATGGGAGAGGTGCTCGTAACAGACACAGAGAGGGATCACAAGAGGTATCAGAGAAGGGCCTGGGTAATCCATTCCCTTCAGATCTGCCAAAGAGAGCGCCCAGACTCATTTGACAGGGCTGCCCAAGTGCTGGGGCCTGAAAATATACTTGTATATTTCTTGAGCAGCTCATCATCAGTTAATCTCCCATTCTTACAATCGTTATGGTTTAACAGCCCTAAAATTCATCCTGTCAAGACTCTGATTTTTAACTGTGCTGACCCAAATAAAGCCACTGCGATTAGAACAGGAACCAAGGGTATGGGCTAGTTCTCTCTAGAATACCGCTTTCTACACATTATCATTTGGACCAGGAGAAGTATCACATTAGGAGAGTCCAGAACCTCACAGGACTTTGAAATGCAAAAAATAAACAGGGAAAACAGAATGCCTTAAAGGAAGAACGAATTCAAACTTTTCCCTTCATGTATCTCTGAAGATCTTATCTTTGATATAAGTTAGAACACTGTTAGAATGACCTCAGAGCTCAGTAAGACATTCTAGAAACAGTACAGCTTTGTGTTCTTAGAAGATCAACTACTACGACAGGGCCGAGGAAGTGACATAACAAAACTCTGAAAGCCTGCAGATCAACCACTGCTGTTCCTTGGTCTAAAATCTAACTATCAGAAAGTATCACATGAAACCGAGAATGCAAAATAAGAAATCAGTGATTTTTGGTAACTGGAAAGAACTTATGTATCTTCCCCCACTAAATATGAATGAACTCTCTTTTTAAAAAAAGAAAAGAAAAGAAGCAACTTCCTCACCATGAGGATAGTATTAACCACTGAAATATTTCAAGAAAAGATTTGGGGGTAATTATAAACAAGACACTAAAATGCTGAAAGTTCATTTTCACAGTTTGATTATACACTAAAATGGCAATACCTAGCTTCAGTCAAAGAAAAAAAAAAAGAAAGAAATCCAACTAATTTTATCAATTCTTCCATTACCTTCTTTTAATTCAAACATGGATGCACAAAGAAAGGTTTCCACTTTTAATTTTTTTAACTTAATATACAGAACCACAACGTGATTTCAATTTCAAATTATGGGGGTTATCACAGTCAAATATGCTTGAATTTGACAAGTTGTTGTTACAATACAGAGAAATTTCATGAAAAAGTTATTTAACAATTTTTAAGACCATCAAATATCTTCTTGTTACATGGGCCAACACATGAATAGTAAATTGTTTTAAAATGCTGTCTTTTGGAGTTCAAATTATTAAAAAAGACTATCGAGATTATATATACTTTCTGAAAGTCATTCCATTTTGAAAGCTGAAGATAAATGCTTATACATTAGAACACTTCATGAGATCACTTCTCCTTTGCACTTACCTGTGAAAGTCAAAGACAAAACCACAATCTCCTAAACACATAGCTATTTCTACAATACATTGGTGTAATCATGAAAGGCTACTAGAACTAAATTATCACTTTCATATTAACACTTTTCACCACAACACATCTTTCCTAAAAGACAAAAAATATTGGGAGTTTAGATTTCCCTTACTGAATTTAACATTATAGAAGCTCTTACTGTCTTGTCCTTAGGGACAGACATTAACTCTTTCCAGTGGGAACTATCTACACAGTACAGTGCTACACACAATTATTCCAGTGAAATGTATATGTAGTTTCACAATATGGCCAACACAGTAGTGTCATACAAAGGATTTCTGCAGAGAAAAATGCTAAGGAAGGCCACAGTGGACAGTGCCGAACACTGTGAGTACAGTAGGTTACAGGTACCACTGAGGGTCAGAAGACACCTTGGGTTTCCTTTTTCTTTCAGCCATGGAAGAAAAACATTTAGAGAAAAATAAGAATAAAAATATATATTTCCACTGTTGATAATGCAATTTTTCAGACACTGTTTCCTTGATTAAATGGGCAAATTAGCTTAACTTAAAACTAGAGAAGATGGACCAAATCCGGACGTGAAGGATTCTTCTTGTTTGTTCATCAAAGGAATGCACTAGGGTTAGCACGAGGGTCTTTCTGGTTCCTGTACCTGTAGGTCAGCCAAACACCCAGGATCTGGATCAAAAGAAAGAAGAAAAAGAACGAGAAAGTAAAGTCTGTGTATTTCAGTTATCAATAAAATAACTGGACCCTTTAAACAGCTTGGCTCTCCCCCGACCCAAAGGGAAGAGATTTTCTTTTCTTTTCAAATGAATTAGGTAAATCAAATGGGACACCCTAGAAAAACTAAAATATGAACACTTTGTTTGGCAGGCAGTAGTACTGCTCCCCAAGAATAGCCACACTGTAAGCCCCACAACCCAGGAAGACGCTACACTGGAGGGTGGTAGGGAGTGTGCAGGCATGATGAAGTGAGAGAGAGACTGTGGGATAAGCTGAGGATGTGGTCACAGGGCTCTAAGTTAGAAACACAGAGAAAGCAACACGGTGACATAACAAGGACAGAAGGTCACAGAAGAACGGCGAGGTTTGATATTTTCTCCAGCACTTCGTTAATAATAGCCAAATACAAATGTTTCATTCTTGAAAGGGGAAAAAAAACTGAAAATAACATTTATGAAATGTACACACACATGCATGTACACTATACATTAATCATAGACGCATGCAAAATGTATACACTATATACACAAATGCAATTCATGCATCACTTGCACATTTTACACATACACACATGAAGCCTCAAAATGAGAAAGGGCTTGCTAAGCATGTCAAAGGAATAAATCATACGAGAAAGAGAACTATAGATCTGACCATAGTAAAAATAAAATCTCCAAATTTAAAAAACCAAGTCATAAAAATAATAGTTAAATACCAAAGAAACTGAAAGAACAATAAAGCAAAGTATACGGAAAAAGTGCAATGGATTGTGATGAATTAGAAGAGAGGGAGAAAGGACGGAGAACGGTTAAGAAATAGCAAGTAGGAGGCAGCAGGAAAGAGGATCCATTGGCTTAGTACTATGCGTCTCACACACTCCAGCCCTGGCAGCCCTAGCAGTCTTAGAAATTAAGCCATTTTGCATTTGTTATTTTGAATTTGTCCTTGCACTCTGAAGAGTTTCCAGTAAGACAAAAGTACATGGGCACTTCACCAAAGAAGAAATGTAACAGTCAAAAACCATAGGAATACAAGGTCAAATTACTACCCACTTTCCCAAAAGAGCAAAGAAGAATTGAAATGTTTTAACCTATCAAACTGTCAATGTTTTCTAATAAAAATGTATAGCGTGAGTGCTAGAAACAAAAGTCACTAAACTCCTCCCAGAAGGCAACTTGACAATTCATTATTAACTGATGTGCCCGTATGATGTCATACTTTACATTTTAAAATGCATTATAAAAGAGGCTGGGGGATAGGGTTGAAACGTTCCATACACAGAGGTGACCTTGGAATTACGTGTCACAGTGGCATAGTAAAGGGAAAATTAAATGTTCACAGGTTAACTGAATACACAGCATTTCAACCGTACAAAATCTCCTAGGATTTTTTCTGCTTTTCTTTTCAAGACACATGTTTACTCTTACAAACAGCTTACTGTATAATTTTTCCGTTATACAGTCTTAATTAAAAGGATTATTTGAAGCATTTTATTACACCATGACAACAACAGGAGCCTCTTTGGTTTTTAAATAGGATATAATATAGTGTCTTATATATCATTAATTAATTAGTGGCTATAAAACAACAGCTAACACATAGCACCTGCCACATACCACGTACTATCGCGCATATTACAAGGTTTACATCTATCAATCCCTTTAATTACAGCAACAACCCTATGAAGCCGGGGCTATTATTATGCTGTACTCATCTTTAAAAATGAGGAGCACAGCATGGGTAAGTACCTTGCCTGAGGTCTCACAACTTATAATCAACTAAACCCAGCAATGCTGGGTTTCCAACCAGACCATGTTAGCCATTTGCTTCAGTGGGACACACCTTAACCTAAGCAGCACATTGCTGAGCAACAATAGCTGGGCTAAAGGATTCTTGTTATAGATACTACACATCCTTATGTAGTCATCTTCTGTAATTATACAATTATCTCTATGAAATACAATACTAGAACTGGAATTTATGCATCAGAGACAGAAAATTTTAATCTTCATACACACTGTGAACTCAGAAGCACCAAAAATCATCCCCGGATATCGAGAGTTTAATAAAAACACTGAGCCAGGCCAGTGACACACGCCTGTAATCCCAGCACTCTGGGAAGCTGAGGCAGGAGGATAGAAAATTCGAGCCCTGCCTGAGCAACTTAGCAATACACCTTGTGTCAAAATAAAAAAATAAACAGGGCTGGAGATAACTGCTCGGGCAAAGGTAAATATAAACGTAAGAAAAGAGACCATAGAGGAAACGGTCTCGTGAAATGAGGCTAATCTCATTTCATGTATTCAACAGGTTTTACATCTAAGATGTGATACGTATATGTACCAGTTCCCCACAACAAATGTTATTATTATGTATTATCACATATACTAATAAAAAAAGAACTCTCAAAATGTAAAAAAGAAACAAATTTACATCTGAGGAAACAGAACAAACATCTCACACTGCCATAAAGTTAAGGTGAGCTCCATGAGATATTCTGACTCCAAGCTTGGGGACCTCCCGTTACCCTCCAGCTCTCAAGGAAAACACGTATGTCCTCCAAAATTTAGGTGCCATGCTAACATGCAATGTCACGCCCTCACACCACACAAAATAGGATCCCCTGTGACACAGGGGAAAATACAGAGTTATTCACACGTACCTCTGTGAAACTGAAGAAGAGGCCGATGCCACCGACAAATCTCAAAACCTCTCCAGCATATCGTCCTATTATCGGAGCACACGGTGGGCACAGATGGCCATCTTTCACACAGCTCTACATCAATTAAGAAAAGACCTGTTATTTTAAAGTACATTTATAAAGAGCATATAACAGCACAGATGCCAAGTTAGGGTCCGGTGTTACGTGAACTTTTCAATGGCCCCAGGCATGCACAGCCTGCAGAATCCTCTGTGGCCGGGGCTTGTGATATGACAGAGTCCCGCCCATAGTTAGGCTGCATGCTACACAACTCCATCTTGCCAGAATAGAGACTCTTGTGCAAACTTGGATACTTTCATGCTCAGCCACCAAGAAAAGAGGGCCACTGGTCCTACAACTGCAAGGAACCAATTCTCCCAGCAACCACTGAGCTGGGTAGAGCACCCTACCCTTCCTATGAATGTCATCCTTCGCCAACACCTAACTTCAGCCTCATATGACCTGAACAGAAGACTTGGCTAACCATATCCAGCCTCCTGACCCAGACTGTGAGACAATGCATGGGTACTGCTTCAGGCCACGAAATGTGTTATACACCAATGGAAAATTAATACGAACTCCTGCAAAGAACGAATGTCACAAATGAAGCCTCTCACTGGGAGGGATATCCAGCTCAGGGTTCACAGAGTTCCCCAAAATATAAATACATACGAACTTCGGAACTGACCCAAGCCTGAGTCCGTCTTCAGGACTGGCATAGAAGCTTGGCAGTCAGGGGTCTGGCCTGAGACAGGAGTTTGGTTCTAAATGGTCCACCAATAGCTCAACTCCAGACACGAAGGGTATGGAATTGTACAGGAGAGAATGCAGGGGGTTCTCTACCTTCAAAGTATTTCCTAAGAGACCCGATTTAGTAGAGATCATTCTCAAGCCAAGGTATTTATATACTTCTTCTAAATCTCTAAGACTGATCTATTCTCTATTCTTCTTTCTCAACTGATTCTCAGAAGAGTCAGATGAGAAAGAATCAGGGGCAATAAACCAAAATTTGTGTGTCTGACTGGCACACACTCAGGATATCTTAGATATCTCAGGATATCTAAGAACAAGCAAATGCTATACTAATGTGTTTGAAAATATCATACAGGTATATGTAGAACGATTCTGAAATACAATTCAGCATCAGAAAATTCATTTCTTCCATGCTAATCATTATATATCATACATAATGTATTCTTTTAAAATATCTCTAAATTTGACTTACAGCCAGGCAGGTGTCATTTGGGTTAAAACTTCGGAATCCACAGCAATCTAAATTTCTCTGGATGTCATTTCGAGCACCTGCCGTGTTGTTCCAACCAACCTCCAGAAGCTGACTCTAGGAAATGCATGTAATGCATAAATCGAAATGTGTCATCACTGCACAACGCTTACAAGCTAGGACCTATATAGCTTTTAGTATTGTAAAATATTCTCCAAAACAGCCTTAAGATCTTTCAAAGGTTTATCCTTTAATCTGCAATAAAAATTAAGTCACTATTTCTATCCTGGGAATAAAAAAAAAGTCTTAATTTTTACATGCAATTTAAAAGAAGCACTTGGTTCAAAGACATAATTCTTAGAGTATAACAAGATAAAGTTTCCGCTGTCCCAAGAGAGAAAGCCCTATTTCTCTATAAATTGAAGCCTGAAAGGAAGAATTACTAAAATGGAACCACAGACATCCTGGAGCAAATAGTTCTCTGTACAGTTATGGGCAAGGGCTTGGTAAACATCTTTTGGCAGCAGTACTTTTTACTCAGGGAGGCGTAACCCTACTTAAAAGACAAAATGTAGCCAACACCTCAGAATCTCTCTGCTCCATCATCCCTGCTAATGCAATCAGAGTTTAGCTGCTCAGAAGAAATGGCACTGTTTTATGCTCCAATCACTTCACCTGCTTCTTGTACTCAGGCAAAGGCGGTATAATAAATTACAGTCCCAGGAAGAAGTCCACTCACCTGTTGCTCCTGATTGAGGGCTAAGCAAGCACAAGACACAGAAAACTGAACAATAAATACAAGTAAGAGAATAATCATATACTGAGAGTTAAAAGTTAAGGATATTTCTAAATACTCTTACAAGAGCCTAAAGCAGAAGTACTGGCACAATTTTAAAATGCACCAGAAGCAATTTATTAAGAAAACAGAATAGCACTTGAATCTCAAAAGGGATACACACAGTTATTATTTTGGTAAAACACTGTGTCTTTAAAGTTCATAAATATAAACAGATCCAGTATTAGAATGCCATTCAGAATAAAAATTCTTACACATAGGAAATAAGTACAGCAAATGTCTATAAACTTATTAAATTTTAAGTATGAAAAAATACACTTTTTTCTCAAACAAGTATTAGAATGTTGGAAGGGGCCCGGAGTTCAATGAATCAGTTCAGTCTAACTCTGAATTTGCAGTATGTAAGCAGGAGTACACTGAGCTTGCAGAATTCTTTATGCATGGCAAGGAGTGGGAATAGGTAAGCACACAATAACTTTATCATCAGCAAAGCTCCTAACATTGGCTGAACAAATATGCCTCCGGCTTTTCTAGGAGTTACTTGCTGGCAATTAACGTCCTAAAGTTATTACATCAGTTGTAGCCATCAAGATAGTAATCAACAGCAAGTATGAACTCAACCCGTGCAGGACAAATCCCGATTTTACGAAAGGATACGAAGAACAGCAACACTTGATGGTGTTTCACAGCACCGATCAGCCCCACCAGCGCGATCAGGAACAGGAAGATACCCACTGCGATGACCACGCCCACCACTCGGAGACTGGAAATCAGCCCGAAGCCGATGCCCCAAGCAGCAATCCCGATCAGCAACAGACTAACCAACTGTTAAAAAAAAAAGAAGAAAAGGTGGGGGAGCAGGGGGGGTCAACTTATATAATATCAACATTTTTAGGTTGTTTAGGTCTTAATATCAATTAATAATTACTAATAGTCAATACAATCCTCCCTCAGCATTCCACAAGGGAGCGGTTGCAGGACACCTCTCCCCCAGATACAAAAATCCAAGAACGCTCAGTTTCATACACAAGGTATAGTATTTGACTATAACCTCCACCTTCTCTTATGTATTTCAAATCATCTCTAGATTACTTATATTACCTAAAATGATGTCCACAGTATGTAAATAGTTTTATACTGTATTAGTATGGGAATGACAAGAGAAAATGTCCGTGGTGCATCCGTTTTTCCAACTATTTCTGATCCACAGTTAGTGGAATCTGTGGTCATCTCTTTTCCTAAGCCTAAACACAGGCTAGTGAAGAATAGCACATGTAAAACTTCTAAAAATGACTCTCTCTCAGCCGGACATATTGATTTCTTTACATGGAAATTATCTTTTCCTTCAAAGCCCGAACAACTGAATGAATCCTCCGCTCTCAGCAGTCTGTGTTCTTTGAATGAGGTTGTACTGTTCCCAGCATCACCTTCGCACTGTTTCCATGCCTGTCTGTCCAGGATGGAGACCTGAAGCAACCTGAGAATACGGACTCACATCTTCATCCCCACTGTCCCCCAGACCTATCCCAGGGCCCGGTAGCCCCTGGGAAACTCTCAAACATGTCCACAGCGCTGTTGCTCCAATGCACCGCTTTAGATGGCATTATCGAGCATATTGGAATTCATAATGATAGATAGATACCACTAAAATTTCTACTAGGATGAAAACAGTATAAAAGAATTTAGCTATTTAAAATGAAATGGCATCCTGAACAAGAAGAAATTATTTTATAGTAGTTCAATCACTGTACTTATATTTTATCAAATACAATCAGGCGAAGAAGTAGAATGTCTGCCTAGGGGTTGGAGCCTGTAAAACTTGAAGTTACAATTACTTCTTTAAAATAACACATGCCGTGCCGGATAAAGGTTATAATTACCCATGAAAGATGCAGCTTAGACAGATATCAAGGGAGGGATGGAAGCAGGTTGAAGGGAGAGAGTTATAGAACAGACGGTCAGTCATCTCCTGAGGCCATGTGATGCTGTAATTCCCCTTTAGGAAGAATTAATATGCAAGAAACATATATTTCCTAGCACTACACAAAGGCCTGATAAATTCTGTTTACAAATGTAAAACTCACTACTTACCCAATGGATTTTTTTCTGCTCAAACGTGTAATTTTTCACATATAAAATTTTTTAGACAAATTTTACATTTACTAGTGTATAAAACTACATACGTAGAGATACAAATAAACTGCTAAATGTTGTGCACGTATTTGTCTTTCTATAGAATTTTTAAAAAATTTTTGCCAAAGACGCAAAGCTTGAGGATAAAAGAAGCCATCTGTAGCACGACAGAACCAAGTTACAGAGCTGTACGGACCTGGGGGCCTCCACTACCGTCACACACACAGAGAATGCTTCATTTTTCAGAGGGAGAAAGATGGGAGAAAGTTCTCACAAGTGCTGCCACCCAGAGATTTGTCTCGCTCCTTTCTCAACTGCTCCTTATCAGCAGGCTTGTTTCCTTCTGTTTAACTCCTATCAACTCCATCTTCTCACAGCACTAAACAATTCTGCAGTGAGAAAGAGTCCTCTGCCCCTTCACAAGGGAACTTATTTCTGACTCTGTGGTGTCCAAATATAACTCGCTTCCTCTCAGGAGCTGTGAAAGGCAGAAGCCGGAGGAGGTGTGAAGGAAGGGGCGGGAGGGCCCGGCTCACATCGGCCACTGCGCCTCGGGGCCTTGTGCTGAAGGCCACACCGGCACATGGCAGAGAGGCTGGATGGCGCAGGCCGGGGTCTCCAGAGAAACGCAACCCATAGGAAATAGCGGTCGTTTGTGTCTGTATTTATCTGTCACGAGAACATGATAGAAATCTTCAAGCATTGGCCCGTATAATTGTCGCGATGGGAAAGTCAGGAATTCACGGGGGAGGCCAGTAAGCTGGAAACTCAGGCACAATTCCTTTTTTTCCCCCCACCACTGGGGATTAATCACACTGAGCTCCACCCTAGCCATTTTTTTTTTTTTTTGAGATGAGGTCTTAAGTCACTGATTGGTGAGGCCCGTCCACACTGTGCAGGTAACCTGGTTTACTCACAGGTCACTGGCTGTACGCCTCAGTCCTGTCTGTGGCACACCTTCAGGGTAGTATCTAGACTAGTATTTGACCCATCAAGTGGACACCACAGCCTATGCCCAAGCTAACCTCAAATTAACCATCCCACTTGCCAACACTGTCCTGAATGGGATGCTTTTCTTTGATTTTACTAAAACATATTAATTATACATCATGATTTTCTTTATGACATTTTATACATGTATATAACATACTTTGATCCTCCCCACATTACTCTCCCTTCCCCTTCTTTCACCCTCCCCCGTTTCTTCTTCCCCTTTTTTAATTCTGCTTTCATGTCTTTTTTCTCCTCTAGATTCCACACATGACAGAAAATATGCAATAGTTGTCTGTGTCCGGCTTATTTTGCTTAACAAAATGATCTCCAGTCCCATCCATTTTCCTGCAAATGACAAGATTTCCTTTTTCTTTATGACTAAATAATACTCCATTACACATGCTGTAGCTTGTATGTAGATGTCCCCCCATCAAAGCCTTACGCAGTCACAGGTGGGGCTTTCCAGAGGTAGCTGGACCTAGGGTATGTGTTGCTGAGATAAAGGAAGTGATGCTGGGATTGACTCAAGGTGCAATGCTAGCATTAAGAGTGTGAGTGCTACCCACTGGCTAGTTTGGATAAAATATAAGAGACAGAAAGAGGGCTTCTTGCTGCCTTCTGCCTTCCCTGCTTTGCCATGAACTGTTTCTCTTCTGTGATGCCCCTCTGCCAACCCACTCTGCCTTGGAGCCAGCTGACTGTGGACTGAGATCTCTATGAACTGTGAGCCAAATAAACCTTTTCTCCTCTAACTTTGGGTATCAGGTATTTTGTCTCAACAACAGGAAGAGGAACTAAGACAATGCATATACACCATATTTTCCTTACCAGATGTGGTGTTGATTTACTAATTCAATTAAATTCACAGACAAGACTATCACTCTGTATTTCATTGTTTGACTCACAGAAACATAAAGATTAGATGCATGAATAATCTGGCATAAAAAAATTCTAATCCCATACAGTTTTATAGAATCCTTTGGAGAATCATACCAAACCCTTACTACATTAACAAGATTGTTAAATTCTGTATTAAGAATATTGAAAGTTAAATATTCCTAAATACTAAAAGTTAGTCACTCATCTACAAATGGTTGGTGCTGATTATGTGCTAAAAGCCAGAGAAAAAGAAATCCCTGCTAGACGAGAAGCCAGCAAATTTTTTCTTAAAGGGTCAGTTATTTACTCTCTGCATTTCTAAATCACATGGTCCCTGCCACAACTATTTAATTCTGACACTGTACACAAAAGCAGAGATAAAATATACAAATGAACCGTCAGGGTTGTATTCTAGTAACACCTTATTTTTAAACACTAAAATTTAAATTCATATAACTTCCATGCAAAATATAATTGTTCTTTTGAGTTTATTAACCATTTAAAAATGAAACACTATTCCTACCTAGCATGCCATACAGAAACAGGCAGTGCACTGGGTTTGGCCATGGAATCTGGTTTGCTGACCTTTGTTTCAGAAGTCAGTAGAACAGGAAAAAGAAGATTACAATAAAACAAGCAACTGCTTCAGCAGAAAATTTTTTACAAAGTGAGTCAGGATAAACAGAATAGCTTGAAGACTGCAAAGAAACAATAAAGGAGTAGGCAGAACAAACTTAGAAAATAACCCCACTGTGAATATTACCTTCCACAAAAAAGAGTAAGTACTACTTATACATCAAAAGTGAGCATTTTAAAGAGTTTATCCTATCAGGTGGGTCATAAATTTCACCATGAGCATCTTTGTAAGAGGAAGACAGAAGGAAATTAGAGCGATATACAAACAAAGGAAGTCATGTAAAACACACACAAACAAGAAGTAAAATAAAATGAAACAAGGCAGACAGTGATGGGGCCACAAGCCAAAAACTGTGGGAACCACCAAAGATACAAGAGGTATGTACAAATTCTCCCAGGGGCTCCCTAGGAAACCTCGAGCTGCTGACACTCTGATTTTAGACTTCCGGTCTCCAGAACCATGAGAGAATAAATTTCTGTCATTTCAGTCCTGTTGTGGTAATTTTCTACAGCAGCACTGGGAAAGAAATAAAGAACAATTCATCCACTTGGAGTTGGACAACTTAGGGACCTGGGACCACTGCTGAGACTGCCTGGTGTCTGATCACCCCTGAAGTCCCTACTGCAAAGCCGGTGTAAATAATTGGGTGTCTTTGTTGGCAACGTTCCCACAAACCAAACCCTCAAAATCAACAGTGTGTTGGCAAATGAAAAAAGCATTCTGCGCTCACTCTGCTGCCAACTAAAAGCTCATTAATGACAGTCTATTCTCCCCAGCTATGTTTCTTTAAGAGATAGTCTCCTTCATGTTGCCCAGACAGTGATCCTCCTGCCTTATCCTCACTGACTCCTGGCCTCAAGTGGACACACACTACTGCACCCAGCTCCAAAAAATAATTTCTACAACCAAATAGGGGAAAAAGCACCAGCCCAGTTCTCAGACTAGGCATTATGCTATTGCTGGAAATACCATCCAGAACATTCAATACTCTGACCCCTTCTTTCCCCAATTAGGGGGGGGAAAAAAAGAGGCTGCTTCTTTCCTTAATGTTCTGCCAAGGGAATTCCTCAACAAGGTGATTCTGCTCTGTCTTTGCTATAATTTTCTGTCTCTCCTCATTACTTTCTAACAGGCAGTCTCCACAAATTGAAGTTTTCCTAAGGTTGTCTTAACAAATCTTTCAAGTGTAGTAACTTAAAATGACAAATTTGTTCTCTGCAGTTCCAGGGGTCAGAAATCCAACCTGTATCTTCCTAGGCTAAAATCACAGCATCAGTTAGGTTGCATTTTCTTGTAGGAGCTCCAGGGGAGAATCTGTTTCCTGCCTTTTCTAGCATGCAGAAGTTGCCTGCATTCCTGCACTTACAAACTAGTAGTGGACCATCTTCACAGGAGACCTCAGCTGTCTCCTCACTGACCCTCTTAACCTTCTTATACGAACCTCTGTGACCACATAACGGCTCATTCAAGTAATCCAGAATAATGTCCCCATCTGGAGATTCTTAACTTAACCATGCCTTCAAAACCTCCTTTTCTGTGTAAGGGACACGTTGATAGCCTCAAGGATTAGGAGGTGAGTACCTCTGGGGGCAGCAGTATTCAGGCCAGCCTACCACAGATGGTTCTGAGAACATGGTCAGCTATGTTCTCACAGAAATCTTTGCTGCTGCAAATACATTTAAACACTGAAAGACAGTGTCACATTTTGTTTAAACATATAGCTGAGCACAGAGAAATTATGGTAAATTCCCATAAACCAGAAAAAAATGGAGAACTGAAAGCCCAAGCTTTCAGTTTTGGGCTTTTAAGAAACTCCTTGAAGAGTGGGGCCCACAGGGCATGAGGGCGTCTGGATCAGAACAGTCCTTGAAGGGGAAAGACCTTTTGTTTTCAGCCAGGCAGAAGTAGGAAGTGAAAGTGAGACGAGTACACAGATAAAAACTCCAAAAAGCTATTTTCTCAGGTTAAGGTATTCTACAAAAACAGCAACTCCATTTCCAGGAGCACAATGAAGATTTCTGAAACTCTTCAAAAAGTCTAGCAAGAGCCCCAAGCCAGCCATGCCCATGTCTGGAACTGAAAAGTGCACCACCCAGGACACACATCTTCATGCCAAGGAATTCAGATAAAAGCTCATCACAGGCTGCAACAGCACTGGGGGAAGAAAAGCCACAGAGGCAAATGTGAAAAGATTCAGGAGGGGGACAGTTCAAATCTCACCCCCTAGACTGTTCCCAAATTAAAAACAAGGAACAGCAAAACAACTTTGCTACCAATCAAAAATCACATAAAAATTAAATCCTATCTTAGACATGCAACACAGTGGAAGGATTAGAGTTCCTCAAGAACTTGAACTAGAACTAAAATTAACACATTTAAATTTAAAAGTAATAAAAAATGAGAAAACAAAACCATATTTATGAAATGACTTGAAAAAGAGCCAAATAAAGTAGAAAATAAACAGAAAGGATAAGGCATATTTATAGAAAGTAAAGAAGTCCACCAAAATTAAGAAAAAAACAAGAATAAATTCCTCAAAATTTCCCTACCTGACTAAAAAAAAAATCTATGAAAAGCCCAGAGCAAAAATCATACGTAATGATGCTTGAGAAAAATTTCCTTCCACATTGTGGAGTAAGATCACTTCTACTCAATTTGGTAGTGGAAGTCTTAAACAACTGAGTAAAAGTGAACATAAAAAAACATGGCACTATTCGGAAATTAGTGTGTACAAAGGTAAGCCAAGAACATCCACAAATTACTAAAGAATCAGCACAGTTGCTAGAAACAAGATCAATATACGATACAACAAAAATATTTTAAAATTAATTTCTTAGGATACAATCTGTAATAGGTCCCCAAAGTATAAGGTACATACGACAAAATCTAACAAAAGTAGTATAAGAACTTCATGGAAAATACTGTGAAACTGACTGAAGAATATTATAAAGATCTAAATTAAATTAGGAGATGTATGTTCATAGAGAGGGGAGTACAATAAAGCATCAATTCACCCCCAGTTTAACCTACAAATTCAATATAATCCTAGTCAGTATCTTCACAGGGTTTTAAATCCCATGGAAGAAGAGCTGGAAATATTTTTTTAAGATTAAGGAGGAAGGTCTTCTTCAGCTGTACTTTTTCTCAACCCAGGTACACTGTCACCATGCAGAGGAAGTACTCCTGGTGGCAAA